TGGGCCCTTCTCCTATAGCTCTCTCTCTACTAGGTCTTGGCCAACATGATAGGTCTTTCCTATTACGAAGACCTGGGGCAAACAGGAGATAGACCCTTCCTGACAAAGTATACAGCCACAGAGGGAGCCCTCCATGAGGTATGTAACCCCAAAGTAGACAGGCAAGTGACCCAGGACAATATCAAAGTGGCAGGATGCTGTGTGAAAAGAATCAGGAAGGCAAAAGCCAAAAATAGCAGATGCTTGGAGAAAATGCTAAAGACAAAAGACAAAAAAGAAAGGATTTTTTAAAAGCCAGGCTTAGAATAAGAATAATAAAACCACGATAGGTGTTAATTCTCAACTACAGATTGTGCTTCTGTCTTCTCCATCAACACTGACCTCAAACCTCAGCCCAGAATGGCAGGCTCTTGTCAGCCGGACTCTACTATCCTGTCTAGTCACTGTCTCTGATTACTCCCCCAGAGGTCAACTTCCTTACCAACCTATATATTCTCCTCCCAGTCTTTGGCCTGCTATTTATTCCACCTCAAATTTCTTTCTGCTTTGCTCCTCCTTCCCTGGCTTTCCCAAGCAGACAAGGAGTGCTCTCTTCAACTCCCATAGCACCCATGTATGTGTCTTATACCACCTCCCACAGGATATTATAATTTCTTGGTTTGCTTCCCTCCAAGAGACGGTGAGCCCTCAAATATTTTATCTTTGTATTCTAACAATCTAGCATAGTGTCTGGCTTATAATGTAGTAAGTGAACGAATCAAATGAGGAAAGTAAAGGATGAATGAAGTAACAACCATGTGCCAGGCTTTGTGTCATATACCTGTCTTCTCACCTCTACTAACTTATGACAGATACAGAGAGCAATGTCTAAAATGCAGTAAGTGATCAGTACTAGGTGGCTGAACAAATCAGTAAATAAAGATGAAAAGAGCTTTGACCAATTCAGCAAAGTCTTATGCTCATGAGGATGAAGGTCCCTTTTCAATTCTAAGATTCTATGGGGTATTTCAGAAAAAAGTGTTTGTACAAATTTCCAAGAAAACTTAGAAAAGAGAGAAGGGAAACTAGCATTTGCTAAGGAGCTACACATTTGTTAGGTGCTTTACATGTGATACTTCACTTTTCATAATTGTCCTAGGAAATTGGGGTTATAAACCTCATTTCACAGGTGAAGAAACTGAATGAACATGGAGATGCAGAGCCAAAATTTGAACTTAGGTGTGCCTGACCCCAGCCCTATGCTTTTTCCACCTGCACACTTGAACCTCTGAGAGGAATACAAGCTCCCTTCCCTATCATTCCAGTCCAAGGAAAAGGCAGTCTGAAACCAGCCAAGACTCAACAATGGTCACGATTCCAGAGAGAGGAGCTTTTAATATGAGGTACAAAGAGATGAAAGTCCTGTCTTCCCTTGAGGATCACCCCATTTTCTTTGTAGAAAGGTTCACATGGTTCTTCCTGTTCCTCCCATATGGCGGTAAGGAAAATGTTGGGGCCACTCCAGCTTGGAGGGAAGCAATCTCTCCTTTGCTTTTCCCTTGCCACAGAAGGTCAAGTGGGAATCAGGTTAAGAAAAGATGGCAAGGCAGCTGCCACATGGGTCCATTTAGAGGCCTTAAGATAGATTAGAAAGGGAAGCAGCCCAAAAGTTTACATCCCCTACAAGCCAGTTCAGCAAGTTACAAGCCCATATAGAAATTTCAACCTAAAGTCCTAGCTAGCAGTACAAATGTTCACTTACCTAGAATGTTTTCTGTGTAGGATGGTGGCATTGAACTAAGGTGGCAAGGAATCAGTCAAATTTTGTTTCCCCAAAACATGACTCACAAGTTGACTCAGAACAAATAATATGAGGTGTACAACAAATGGTGCTGGGACAACTGGATATCCACATACAAAAGAATGAATTTGGACACCTACCTCACACATACACAAAAATTAACTCAAAATGGATCAAAGATGTAAATGTAAGAGCTAAAACAACAAAACTCTTAGAAGAAAATATGTAAGTAAATTTTCATGACCTGATGAGTTAAGTCATAAAGGTCAAATTCTCCTAATGAATTAGGCAAGTTTTTTAGATATGACATCAAAAGCCAAGCAACCAAAGAAAAATATAAATATACTGGACTTCATAAAACTAAAAAACTTAGGCTCCTCAAAGGACATTACCAAGAAAGTAAAAAGGCAATTTATAGAATGGGAGAAAATATTTGCCAGTCATATATTTGATAAGGGTCTAATATCCAGAATATATAAAGAACTTATAACTCAACAATAAAAAGACAATCCAAATAAAAATTAAAGGATTTAAATAGATATTTTTCTAAAGAAGATATTCAAATGACCAATAAACACATGAAAAGATGTTCAGCATCATTAGTCATCAGGGAAATACAAATCAAAACTAGAGTGACTTACCACTTCACCTCTACTAGGATGGCTATAATAAAAAAGATAGATAGTAAACAAGTGTTGATTATATGAATAAATAAGAATCCTCATGCATTGTTGGTGGAAATGTAAAATGGTACAACCACTTTGTAAAACAATTCCCCAGTCTTCAAAACCTTAAACGTAGAGTTACTACTATATGATCAGCAATTCCACTCCTAGCTATACTCAAGAGAAATGAAAACATATTTTCACACAAAAACCTTAGGCAATATTCATAATGGTAAAAAAAAAAAAAAAGAGGAAACAACCCAAATGGCCATGTACTCATGAATGGATAAATAGAACATGGCATATCCATACAATGGAACTTGATTTAGTCACAAAAAGGAATGAAGTACTGATATATACTACAACACAAATGATTCTTGAGAACATCATGCTAAGTGAAAGAAGCCAAATGTACAAGGCCCCATATTATATGATTCTATTTGTATGAAATGTCCATACTAGGCAAATCCACAGAGAGACAAGAGATTATTGTTTGCCAGGGCATGGGGGAGAAGAGAATAGGGAGCAACTGCTAATGCATGTAACGTTTCTTTTTTGGGGTGATGAAACATTCTGGAACTGGATGCTGATGATGGTTGTAAAACCTTGTGATACACTAAAAACTTAATTATATGCTTTAAAGGTATGAATTTTATGGTATGTTAATTACATCTTAACAAAAAAAAGTGAGGTGCAGCTATAAAAAGAAGCCAAGTGTACACATTATACATGCACCATCAAAGAGATACGACAGAAAAGCAATTAAGGTAACTTGAAAATCACTATTGCACATTGGTGTTTGTTTTCATAATAACAAATATGAAAAATTTTGAATTTTATTACTATAAACTGAACACCAGCATAAAGAAGATTGAGAGGAAAAATTAATTTTATTTCCATGAAAAACGTCCAAGGATAAATATTTCCTTTCTTCCCAAGAACTCAGCTGGTTGGAAGCTGAGCCCTCTTGAGCGGACATAAGAGCCTCTATGTGAGATTTGCTAACAGCAAACAGATTTGGAAGAATTAAGGCATAGGAACCCGAGCTTCACATGAGCTCCCTCTGGTTAAGGTTAAATGGAGTCTCTCCCAGCAAGCTCTGTCACTGCAGATGGGCATTCCACTGTGATGATGACAAAGGAATGGAGCTGAACTTCCAATTACCAGCATCTCAACCTTAGAAACATTTTCTACAAGTCTTTTCTTGGATTCCTTGAATGAATATGTGTGACTCCAAATGACCAGTTTTTCCAAATAAACACAGCTCATGTTAAGAATATTGAATCACAAGAAAACTTGTACACAATGTACAAGTGAAAATATAATACAATATTTTAGAACTGTGCCTGGAACATTAAAGGAACACTAAATATTTGTTGAATGGATGTTTATAATAGTGATGTTTACTATCTAAAGTAGATTTAAAAAAACAAGGCAAATGGTAACAGTATTTATAAATCAACTTATCTTCATCAACAGAAAGTTGTTTTTCGCTTTATTCCTAATGTACTACCGCATCCTCAGTGATATTTAAACTAACAGTTCAATGGGTATTAAGAAAGTTAGTCCATTATAAGTCAAAAGGATATCTGATTAATATAAAAGTTACTACCCCTCACCTGAACCTTTCTGAAATAAAACCTCAGATTGATAAAGCTGCAGGAATTTGTGAAGTGATTAGCTTCTTATATACCTTATGATTTATTTTAATTCATAAACTAACAAAAGATATAATAAGCTTAACAGTAAGTTGTGCACTCTTTCAATTCTGGAACCCTATGACAGATCCAAGCAAAACATAAATACTGGAACTCAGTAAAAATGGAAATTCTTTCTGAAGCACATCCTAAAGCATACTAATTTACCAATGCCAAGAAGGTCAGCAATTAATTTTATATTACAGTTTCCATTTTTAAAGCCTCTTTAAAAACAGAAATTATTTCTTGGTATCTAACAACTGTGGGTGCTTGAAATACAAAATAGGATCATCAGATGGATAAAAGAAGTAGAAAGTATCTTCAGAGATCACATCTTCTACTTTTTCAGGACACCTCTGAAAGTCTCTGAATAAGCCCACAGTGTGTGACAGTCAGAAACAGTCTCCCTCAATTTCCCTTTGAGCAGTGTAAGCCCTTTCCTTCTTCCATCTTTAAGAAGACATGAAGATGACATGAATAGCCCCCTTTGTATCATCATCTTTTAGTATTTTGATTGGAAGTTCTGATACTCAACTCTCTTTTACTTACTTTCATTAACTCTTCCATGATTTGCTGACATCACAAACTAACATTTTAAAGAAAATGTAGATAGTAGTTATTTGGTCTCTGCATGGAAAGGACTTTCTAAGCATAAAAGCATGAATCAAAAAGGAAAAGATTAATAGGTAGACAACAAAAAATTGTCCTAATTTCTAAAACCATCATAAATCAAATGAAAAGGCAATTGTGGGGTAAATACTCTCACATGACAAGCAAGGGTGAATGTCCTTACTCTATCAAGAACACACACACATCCATGCTGTTGTGTTCCCCCAGCCCCCAACCCCCTGCACTCACCTCCTCATCCATACAAGAAATTGCAAGGTCTTTACAAAAAAGAGGTTACAGCTTTTCTCTCCCAGTTTTCAGGGTTTTAATCCTTTTCTTCTGCCTTGGTCCTTTGCCTCCTACCTGGACACCCTCTTTCTTCCAAGTCCTGTTAGACTGAAGATTTACGTAACTGTCAGCCTGGTCTTGATTTCAGATTTTCCCCAAGACCCAGCCAGCCTCTGAAACGCTGAGTTCTACACTGCTCTGCAGCCTGCAGGCAAGTAAGAACTTGCCCAAGCTCCAGGGATACCTTATCCAACGAAGTCCAGCCCAAGCCTAGCACACTGGCTCCCAGCTGGGCTGGGGGAGGAACAAATCAAAACAGTTCAACAACTGATAAGAGAAAACTGAGACTCCAGTACAAAAATCATCATAGGGTTTGTTCAGGTTGCAGAGAAAAGAAATACCTAATAGCTACCAGTAAGGTTTTTTAATATTTAAACACATAAATAATGAAAAAATGAAATAAAATAAGGAGGTACTATTTTTACCTAAAACAGAAAAGATTTTTTTAAAAATAGTAATGTTTTACGTAAAACAGCAAAGATTTTTTAAAAAATAGTAATGCTAACACAGGGGTCATAAAACTGATGATGGGATGGTAAACTGGTATGATCTTTCTGAAGGTGGCAATATATTTCAAGAATATTCACAATGATCCTGCCATTTGACTCTGTAATCTCATTTTTAGGACTTGATCTTCAGTAATCAAAAATCTAATCAAAGGATTTAAGTATAAAGATGTTCATCTCTACATTTTTGTTCTTGAAATACATACATCCAACAATAAGTAAATTGCAAATAAATTTTGGTTTGTCCACAGTGTGGATTATTATGGAGCCAATAAAAATGATGTAATAGGAGCTCACCCTTCTATAACACTGACTAAAGACCATTCATTGCTCTAAGCAATTAACATATAGTAACACATTACTCCTAACAGCAATAAGAATGGTACCTGTGAGTTAGGTAGGTGCTAGTATCATCTCCACTTTACAGTTGAGGAATCTGAGACACCAAGAAGCTAAGTGATTGGCTCAAAGATATACTGGGACAGACTCCCATGCACTTTATCTGAAATTCTAAAGTCCAAAAAGCTCTGAAAACCAAGTGTTCTCAGGAATTTGTAGCAAACTTATTTGTTGGCAAAACCTGACCTGAACTGATACAAAACTATATATAGTCTTTATTTATCCCACATGGAGTGAAGTCATCTTACTGAAGAAAAATTAATGTGTTTGATATAGGGTGCTACCTCAGACCACACTAGAAATGATACACTATATACACCATGTTATCTTTCTATAATCTGAAAAACTCTAAATTTTAAAATACAAGTAGCCCCTCAGGTCTTAGATAAGGAATTGTGGCAGAGCTGAAATTCAAATCTAGGCATCTAACTCTGGAGTCTGTGCTCTTAAATACTATGTAATATTTTCAGAGACTATGTAAAGACATGGGAAAATGCTTATAATTCAAACATTCAAGTACTTATTAACTAGATTGTATGTGCCAGACACACAGACAAATAAAACTGCAGTTGTGACAGCTGCTCCTAAGGAGAGATTATTGGTGTCAGAAGAGCCTAGACCCTGAGAGGGTTTGTCCTAGACAGAGTGGTCAGAGGGAGTTTTCCTGAGGAAACAATTGATCTAAGATGAGAAGGATGAGCAAGAGTTAACTAAAGAGAAGAGGGAAGAGCCTTTCTGGCAGAGACAAGAGCGTGTGCAAAGGCTCTGTAGTAGGAGGGAAAATGGTGACAAAGGACTCAAAGAGCCAATGTAACTGGAACACAGAGAACCAGGGAGCCTAGTGTAAGATAAGGCTGAAGAAGAGGAAGATGCCACAGGGCCTTATAGAGTAACCATTTGCCCTAGTTTGCCTAGGGGACAGTCCCAGTGTAAATAATATCATTGTCCTTTACTCTCAAAACTGTCTCAGTCTGGATGATAAAGTATATAGTCACCCAATTATAGGCCACACTGAAGTTACATTTTTAACCAACGAGCAATGAGAAGTCATGCCAGATTTTAAGCAGAGAGGTAGGGGAGAAGACGGGTATCATAATCAAATTTTAATTTTAAAGAGGTAACTCCTGCTACCGTGCAAAGGACAGATGGGAATAAAAAAAGGATAAGGCGAATACCTTTAGACCAAGGAGGCTACTACAGAGGACTGGGCAAGAGATGGTAGCTTGTCTAGGGTAACAGTGGTAGGGACAGAAATAAATGGATGGATTTGAGACTTGTTTGAAGATAAAATGAACATAACTTGATGATTATTTGGATATGGAGGGAGGGGGTGGCAGGTGTTACGGATGAGTCCAAGATTTCTGGCTGCAAACTAGATGAATGATGCTATGATTCACTGAGATATGAACACTACACATTCACATGGGCTAGAAATTTAAATATGAAACATCTGTATATTGTTTGTAATTTGAAGCGTTAGGCCTGAAAGACTGTACAAAATAAGGAATGTTGATGTTTCTCTCCATTCACAGATCCCTCCTCAAATACATGACCATCCCATTTCCTGGTTGGATACCGCGATTGCTCGGTGGTCAGACAGAAGAGAGGGTCCCTTAGCTGGTGATGCGGGACAAGTAGTATCAAATCATTTATAACATGCAAATAATGCTTACAACTAACTCCCAAGTACTTTACATTTACTGTTCACAAAGCAACTTCACATACAGGCTCCTTCAAGCCACTACTTTGTGAGAAATTTATAATCTGCCTTTACATTTGAGGACACAGAGGCAGCGTGCTTTAATTACCTGTCCACACAGCCACTAAGTGGCTACTCTTACGCCATACTAACTCCTCTTCTAGTCTCCTCCACTGTGTGCAAGGGACTATTCCAGGTGCTGTAAGAAATAGCTACCATGTAACGAGGTCCTACTGTGTGCCAGGCTCTTAGGAGACTAAAAAAGGGAAAGGGGTGTTAAAAAAAAAACAACTTTATACGTTTAAGGTTGTTACTTTTCCTAAACCACACTTACCCCACAGCAAGTTGGCTTTAAACTTTAAAAAGGGTTCAGTTGCCAAGAAGGGGTGGCGGCGAGAAGTGGAGATGAACCAGGGCGGCCTGGGATCGCCCAACACCAGACCCAGGGGAAATGGGGCGCCAACGGCTCGACCCCAGTAGACAATTGGAAGGGTCTGCGGCCTCGACCCGCTCCCTCCGCGGCTGGGCGCCGCCAACCCCGCACGTGGAGGCCCCGAGGCCCTTTTGCCGGCGCGTTGCCATAGCAACGGTCGGGCCGCTCCCGCCCCCTCCCGTGGGGCCCGCCCTGCGCGGCGCCGCCAGAGGCCACTCACTGACAGGCGGGCCCCTTGCTGCTGTTGTTTGCCAAGCCCGGAATTCTGCCCCTGGGAAAACTTCGCCGCCGGCGGAGCGGCCGTAGGGAGTGGACGGGGGCCGCGCGGGGACAAAGTGCATCGCTGAAACGAAGCCTCTTCTCCCCGCGGCGGGGCTGGCGAGGAGGCGCCGGCAGCACAGGGGTGCCCGCGTATCCCGGTGCGCTCCGTAGCGTCCCCGCTAGCAGATCCTCCTAGGGACGGACCTGAGACTCCTGTCTCGGGACAGAGAAGCCGCCACATGATCCATAACATTAAAACGTCCTAACAGTGATAGCATGGTACTGAGGTGATGGCCAGACCAGTATCTCACTCGGGGCCCGAAGTCTCGCCGTCCAGCCAGTGGGAGCTGGGGCTGCAAGCTTTGCACTGCCGTCGGTACAGAGCCGGCCTAAAACGACAAAATGAACCGTCTTATCAGTGCTGGGAGCAGGCCTGTGGTGAGGATGTTTGTCCCCACAGAGGGCCCAAGAAGACGCCTGACTGACCACATGACAGTTCCCAGAAATATCTTTTAGCCACAACCCCCTGTGTAACCATGCAAATGCAAGCCCTCTGCAACAACAGAGGCTACACATATGGGCTCCAGCTGTACGCTAATGTATTTCTTGACTTGAACTAGGAATGGCTTCTGTTTAGGTGGGTCCTGGTCTCTAGCGACTATGAGGAAGAAATTCAAGTCTCCTAATACTAGGCTAATTATTTCAGGCAGATATCTCTAAAATTCACTTAATACCCAATAACTTGGTACAGCAGGTCGATTAATTTTATTGCTTAGAGGTAGGTGTGTATCTGGCAACTAGGTCATCTTGTCAGGGTTCATCCGAAAACTCAAAATGGCCATGTTAGGTTCTGACTACTTTAGTTTTGCAAATTTTCCAAGCACAAACAATCCCATCCATGCCCTGTACTGTAAACTTTTTGGGTCTTGACTGACCTTTGTTCTGGTGAAATACAGAATTATTGTCTAAGGAGAGTCTGAAAGAGCCTGCAAGAATTTTCTCTCTGACCCTGCCCCCCAACCCTGCTCCCATCCAAGCATGAGTTTTAATGCCACAATGTCCAACAAAAGGAGATAAACTTTACCATCTGCTTCACTGAACTATGAAGTGTATGGATCTGCCTTTAGTCAACAGCTGTAAAGCCTTACACTCCAGATCCTTACCAAGAAATAACTTTGAACTGTCCAATTACTAATACCTATGAAAATCCTGGTTGAGGGAAAGTGTAGTTACTGAGAATTGTTTGAAAGGAGATAATCCCTCCTTTAGTCTCTGGGTCAGTGAGTCTCAAACCTGACTGCATATCAGGTGAGTTCTGTTTGTTTCTTTTGTGTTTAACCACAGATTCATAGTTCATACTTTCATTGATAGATCCCATGAAACCATTTTTAACGGTCTTCAAGTGAGTCTGATCCCAAGCCAGGCTGGGAACCATATTTTATCCTGAATTAAGTCAGACATCAAAAAGCTGTGTATTTGTACCACTTTCTTCATCCTTGCAAAATTACCTGTACAAAGTCATGCTTTACCCTTATGTTATTTGCTTATATTGAGTGCTAAAAAAAAATACTCATGACACCTCTGCATATACTAGAAGGATTATTTTAAGAATGGTGTTTAGTACATCTCCATAGCAGAATCCTACCAGATTGTCCATCCCAGTGTTTTTCAAACTTTTTGGACCATAATTCACATAAATTATGTTTTACATAATCCCAATACACATGAATCTTACACTTAATAACTGAAATAAGCTTTATAAAATATTATCTATACACATGCTTTATATCACACCCTGATACTTTTTATCTCTTTTTTTAAATCTCTTAAATGCTGGTGTATACC